TCCACTCCTATCAAAGCCTGCTGCCATGTTCTGCCTGCCAGCAGCTGTACACGATGGGCTGTCACTCCAGGACCTTGTTTCAGACCCATAAGCTCCCCTATCCATTAAACCATTGACGTCTCTGTCACTGACTCTAGGCTCTTTCTTCTTGAAGCTGAGAGAGTACAGGGCTTGCAGGCCTGCGTGTTGCAGCCTGACATACCCTTTTAGCAAAATTTTAAGTGCACAATACAGTGTTGTTACTTACAGGCTCTATGTTATACAGAAGATCTCTAGGGCTTATTCATTTTTTATAACTGAAGCTTTGTACCCTTTGACCGATACCTCCCTATTTCCCACTTTCCCCAGCCCCTGGCCTCTGCTTCTAAAAGTTTGACTCTTTTAGATTCCTCATGTAAGTGATATCATATAGTACTTGTCCTTCTGTGTCTGCTTATTTTATTTAGTGTAATATCCTCCAGGCTCATTCATGTTGTCACATGTGGCAGGATTTCCTCTTTTTTAAAGCTGAATGAGTGCTCTTTATGGTAATAATGCTGTAATAGAACCAAATCTCTTTAGCAAAGACACTAAGACAATATTATAATTAAAGGTAGACCACTGTATTTCTTTTTATGCTAAGACGTGTTTTCAGCACATTTCACACTTCTTTCAGGTTTAAAGACTTTTTACAGTGAAGTGATTTTTAAAAAATTTCTCGGTAAGCCATACTTTCCTCTCTGATTTTAGCCTTGCCATTTTGATACCAGCCAAATTAACGTAGAACAGCTCATTCCCGATTACTGTCTGTTAAAGCAAATATCAAAATAGCCTTTAAATATTGTTAATTATCTTAATTGTGACTGGAAATAGAATAAATGTTACTTAATTAGATTTTCAAATAACAAGATTTGGGCCTCAAGCTAGAAGCTCCCTGCTAGCTGTGAGGAACTGGGTGAGTCTCCTAAACTTTCTGAGCTTTAGTCATCAAATCTGAAAAATAGGAACACCAAGGCCTCAGTTTATCCTCTGAGGGTTGTTGTGATCAGTGAGATAATAGAAGGAAAAGTACTTTGGAAAATGCAAAACAATAGGCATTTTTACAAGAGTGATGAGTATCAACTAGAATAATTTTGCCTAAATCCAGATGTGAGAAATTAAAAAACATAATTGAGGTCGCAGTCAATTGACAAGGGAGCTGAAGCTGAAATAGAAATGTGGAAAGAGTTCTAGACAGATGACTAAGCAATAATACCTAGCAGTAACTCCACACAGTGGAGTTGGTCAGAGGATGTAGGTTTTAGATGATGACCTTAGTTAAGTCACTTCTCTGTGGGGTGGCTAGATAAAATAAAGGATACCCAATTAAAATTCAGTTTCAGATAGAGAAGAATTTTTTAGTGTAAGTATGCAATACTTGGGAAATATTTACATTAAAATGTGTGGTTTTTTAATCAAAATTCAAATTTAACTAGATGTCCTGTATTTCTTTTTCCTAAATTGGTTAACTTTATCTCTCAGGCTCTGAGTTTATGAGAAAATATGAGAAATCAACTTCCCCACTACCTCACAGAATTGTGAGGATCAAACAATCTATTTCATATATTAATGTCGGGTTGGCCAAAAAGTTCATTCAGATTTTTCCATATCATCTTACAGAAAAACCCGAGCAAACTTTATGGCCCACCCAATACAAGTGTAGAATTTTGTAATTGTCATTTTTTTAATTCTGTAAACTACCTTTAAAAGATGTTGCCACATTATTGTAAATTGCCACAATAGAGTCTAAAAATATAGTCTTTGTCAGTGTTAAGATGCTACTTAGAACAGGGCTACGTGATGTGAGTGGGTTAAGAAGGTATATACCCAATAGCTTGGGTATAAATCGCACTGCCATCAGTTGAAGTGGTGGTAAGCTTTGGAAAACAGTCACAGACTTGAGCTGTGAAACAAGGAGGATAAAATGGTTAAGTTGTAGAATTGTTAAGAGGAAAAA